TTTAGCTTGTAGTAACTTGATGGGTGTGGAACTCTGGTGTTGTAGTGGGTTATGCTTTGGGCTGTGAACCACCAGGTCATCAGTTCAAAACCACCAGTCATTCCAAAGGAGAAAGATGTGGCTTCCTACTTCCCTTAGGAGTTACAGTCTCCACAGGGGCAGTTCCTACCTGTCCTGTAGGGTAAGAACTTACTTGTCCTATAATTCTTACCTGTCCTATAGCTACAGTCTCCACAGGGGCAGTTCTTACCTGTCCTATAGGGTTGCCATGCGTTGGAATAGATCGATGACACGGAGGTTGTTCTTTTTTTCGGGGTGGTGGTGGTATTTGATGAGTACTTCCCTTCTGATCTAGTGACCACAGATATCTTGACAGTCAGTGGCATTCGTCAGTAACATTGGCCTTCCTGCGCCTCATGGCCATAGAGTCAGTTCTGATTCATAGCAATCCTACCATTGCTTTTGTGCATGTCTGAGGATATACATCTTTACAGGAGCAGAAAGCCTCACTTTTCTCTCATGGAGTGGCTGATGGCTTTGAGCTACTGAACTTGTCGTTAATGGCCTAGCATATAACCCGCTATGGCACCAAGGTTCCTTTAGGGTGCCTTTGTCCAGATACTTCTATTTAATCATCAGGATGATAGCTATACTTTTTCTAGATCAAAGGGGATTAAAATTAACTTTCAGGCTGTTGGCGTCCTCATTCAGATGTGTTCGATGTCTACTGTGGACATGGACTTCTAGGGAACCAGAATTAAGCACACTATGCTCAAAGGAGAGGGCCCTTGCTGGTGCCGTGGATCGGGTGCTGGGTTGCTAATCACAAGGCAAACAGTTTAAATCTAACAGCTGCTCTGTGGAAGAAAGATGAGTCGGCTCCAATGAAGATTTACAGTCTCAGATCCCCCGTGGAACAATATTACGTTGCCTTCTAGGGCTGCTGTGAGTCAGAATTGAGTATATATACTAGAAAAAATTCATTTTCGTTTATTTGTAAATTTTCAGTATTTTAATATATTTTTTTAAAAACCTACTTTCCCTTGATTCTGGGACAAGTTCCTGTTCTAGTAGATTTTATTTTTGTTTCTCTGTTTTTTTCTTACAGAAAAAAGTAGCAGATCACCCAAATCGGACTCCTTCTATATGGTTAGCAATGTACAGAGCTTTTGGGCGACCGATTCTCCTTAGCAGCACGTTTCGTTATCTGGCTGACCTGCTGGGTTTCGCTGGCCCTCTCTGCATTTCTGGAATAGTCCAGCGTGTGAATGAAACCCAGAACGGCACAAACAATACAACGGGAGTAAGTTCATAGTGTGATGGAAAGGAAACGCTATTGGCAGATTTCGTGTAATTGTCACTTTTAATTCATGCCTTTTTATGAGTTCAAGCAGGCTTATTTACACAGAACTGATTTTTTTTTTCAAAATTAAAATTGTTCTCATTGAGAACATCATGTATTTATGTAGTCACTGAATGGTTCTGGCCAACAAAGTTATTTCTCACATTCAGAGGCTTTATGCGTTTAATGAACACACACTATGGGTCACAAACTATGCGCAGAAAGTCCACATCGATGATTGTCTTTGATCTCTATTGCAATCCTTTAAATGATTTTTATGGCACAAGGACACGAAGGGCAGCTGAGTCACTCTCTAGAGGCCTGTGACCAATAGTAATAGCAATGCGATTTGTAACATGTATACTCTTCCCTCCTAATAATAAGAACCATTACCTTGTTTCACAATGATGGGGGCCAGGGGCATTATGTTTTTTAATGGAATATTATGTTTCTATTATGAATATAAAATCTTGTCTTTGCAATTCTTAAGAAAGTCGGTAGTGTGAATCTCTAGGACTACCCCCCTCCCCACCTAAGAATTTACTTCTCTAGCATCACAGATCCAAATGCTATACCAATTGGATTGATTGGTTTTTTTACTCCCTGAACTTGATTTCTTACCCTTTTTCTTCACCTATTGAGTCATATGCATTCAACATTGCCTGTTCCGGGAGGCTTTTTCTGGCCATCCTAGTTAGAATTTGACTCTGGTTAGTACTCCTCTAACACACTGTTCGTTTTACATTGGCAGTTACTACATACACTCTTTATAATGAAGCTTATTAATTGCTTACCTTTTAAGTTCTAAGATCTTTGAATAGACTGAATGCAGACAGTTTATATTTGTGCCCACAGTACTTAGATCCTTGAACATGTAAATGCACAGTTATTGAAGTGAGCCAGATAGCGTTTATATCATTGAATGTATTTTTGGTGATATTTTTTTCCCTGCTAGCCAAATTAAAAAGGAGTGTTAGTGCTGTAGTGGGTTAATGCGAGACCACTAACCACCAGGTTAGTCATTTGAAACTACTAGCAACTTTGAGGCTTTCTGCTCCGGGGAAGATTTTCAGATCGACTTTGCCCTATTCGGTTGGTCGGAGCCACATGGACTTGATGGCAGTGAGTGGGCCCCATAACTCACCGATCTCTGAACAGCACATGCCACTTTTGTCATCACTCTTCTTAACCACGTGTCTTTGCTGAGAAGGTTCAGGGTTTACACATTTGGATATATCCTCACGCATGACAAGGAAGGACCAGAGTCCCTGAAATGAAACCCTGAAAAAAATGAAGAGTGCCAAATTGGTTTACTTTATTTACTTTTCCTCTCTTCTAACCAACAAGTCGCTGTGGCTTTCAATACCAATGGGAATTCAGTGTTTTTCTATGTCTTTTTGATGATTTCAGGCATATACCCACTGAAATTTCATTTTCATTAAGTTACATTTTGGCACGGGAGGTTTCACAAGGGAGCAATCATAGCCAAACCACCAATGTTATCATTTAGAATGTATTTCATGTATGACCATTAATATATTTGAAAACTAGAAAAGTTGATTGTGTAAAATGATTTTCAAATCAGTAAGGCTCTAGAATTGGTCAAGTTTTGTTCCATTGAACTTGTTGATTAGTGTTTCTCTTTGAGGATTCTACTACTAAATTAGAGTCTAAATAAACCTCTCTCTTATTTTAGATATTACCCCTAGTTTAGAGGTTAGTGCTTCCTAGTTTAGAGGAAAAATATATCTTGGCAAAAAATAGACTTGTTAAAAAATTGGTTCAATCCAAACCCTCCACTTGGCTACAATTACCTATTACCAGCAATGCTTGGAATTCTATATATTGAGTTGCTTTATATTTGTTTATATGGAGTCTATGGGGGGGGGTGTTGCTCTGTGTGTGGTTCATTTTACTGCTATCTTATGAAAGCCTTTAGTTTTGATGATATTTAAAACCATGTATCTTTTCATAAGTATGAACTGCCCGCCTAGCGTATGAAAAGACGAGTGTTGATTTATTCTTTCTTTTGGGACAAGTTTTCAGCAACCCTCTCATCAAAGGAATTTCTTGAAAATGCCTATGTTCTAGCCGTTCTTCTCTTCTTGGCTCTTATTCTGCAAAGGACGTTTCTGCAGGCTTCCTACTATGTGACCATCGAAACTGGCATTAACCTCCGTGGAGCTCTGCTGGTACGTACGGCCGTGTGACTGACCTTTGAGCGCTCCTTGTTGCGTGAAAACCCCCTAGAGCAGCCTGTTAGAGGGTTCACTGTGGTGGGGCTTAGGTGCTAGTGCGTCCATTCCTATCGATAACTCCAAGGCGGCAGTCAAACTTCCTCATAGGGTCTTCTTGGCTGTCACCTTTGTGGTCATTCTGGGTCTGAATCAGCCTGAGAGAACACAGTTACCACAGGATGACAATCCTTCTTGGAAGCAGATGGCGAGCTCTTTCTCCCACAGTGCTGCTGGGGAGGGCTGAGTTGCCAAGCATTCAATTAGCTGCCGGGTGCTTTACCTTCGCACTACCAGGGCTTCTTAGAGGATTTGTAGTGACTTCAGTTTGTTACGTTGCTTAACTTTGCCTTGAGTATCACAACATCAACAGTTTTAGGAATTTAATGAAGGTAGATTTTGCTGAAAATTGTTTAAAAAAATTGCTTTTCATTATAAATGAAAGCTTCTCTACTTTCCAATAGAAAATGATGACATATTTCCTACTAAGGATTTGATCGTGAGGAATCTAGGTCATGAAAAATTTGCTGAACTTTTTATGCAATTCCCAAACCCCTGCGTTAAAATTACTTCTACAATGATCTATTGATACTATGTTGAAACACTTTAATTTCTTATCTCTATTTCCATTTGAGCTAGTGCTGATGTCTGAACTTGAAGGTAAGATGTAATAACAATGCTAGGAAAACATCTCTCTTCTGTTGAAGTATGAAAGTAACTAGGCTAAAATGAAAATGGTGGTTGCTTTCAGATGACAGCATGGGATATGTGTTGTTTTCTTCCTTTATTTCAAACAGTATATCTGGAATGTTACCATTTTCAATCAAAATAAATGAGTATAATTTGATTATCAAATTGGGAACTCCAGTCATCCTTGATTCCTATTCTTGCTTCCTTCAGGCTATGATCTACAATAAAATCCTTAGGCTCTCCACATCGAATTTATCCATGGGTGAGATGACCTTGGGGCAGATCAATAACTTGGTTGCCATTGAAACCAATCAGCTCATGTGGTTCTTGTTCTTGTGTCCAAATCTCTGGGCCATGCCTGTTCAGGTAGGTCAACGTAAGCAAGGTTCTCATTTTCAGAGAAAAATGAAAGCTAAAGAAACAATGCAATGTTGTTCTAAGTAAAAAGAGGCCATTGGCATGCACATGAACATTATTATGCCCTCTTCATTAGCAAGGAAACTGAGACTTATAAATGCTAGAATAGAGGTTTTCGCAAGTGGGATTGGACATTACGTTGCTCTGCCACTGGTTCCTTAATCTCTCGGAGCATAGGTCCCTCAACTATCAAGTAGAGATAATACTCTTATGTGCTTCAGGTAATATAATTGTTATTGTAGAATAATAGAACATATATAACAATATAATTTATAATAAAAATACAATGGTTAAGAGTAAATAATTTAATAGGCACAAAACATTTAGCAAAGTGCCTAGCCTTTCCTGGTCACTCACAAATTGTTAGTTGTTACTGTTATTGCCCAACGTCACACAGGTCACACAATTCAAGATTTGATGCCTTTCACAGTGACAAACCTATGACCCTTTTGGAACCATAGCAACTGCTTCAATCCATCTCATAATTCCAACAACTGGTATATTATAAACGGCCTGACCTTATAAGGCAGAAGGGATATTAGCAAGCTAGGAGGCAATTTAATTCATTCCTTGGAAAGAATCATTTTAGTGAAAGCACAAGGTTTTCCCAATCAGATAAGCGTGGCAGAAGTATCCAATTTTGTCTCTTTTTGTAAATGGAACTTAAATTGTAGATATTATTTGTCTCCTATGTCCTTGCGTGCTCAATATATTAAAATATACAACAAAGAGGAAATGCTAGTATTTACATTTAATGTTTGCCTTTTCATAATTAAAAAACCTCCAAGCTAAATAAGAGTATACATCCTGCACAGTGCATGGCAGAATATTAGATTGAAAATAGACTTTATCTGATGCTATGGATATATACTTTAGCTTAGGTCTATGTACTCTATAAGTGCACCAGAAGTCTCAGGCTGCTTCTGAATGATTGCATCGTGATGATGTTAAAGAATTTTCTGTTTTTATTGGAGTTTCTCTAGTGTCTAATTGGTTATTCAGGAAACACATGCTACTGCCTTCAGAAACCTGCTGTTAGTATGTTTTCATTGGCATATAAGCATGGACTGCTTGCTTGAATTCCATGGAGACACTTCATTACTTGACATTTGGGGCCACTGTGTGCTGAGCTACTAGACAAACATTTGCAGGAGGGAGAATGTTGTTGCTGCACTTGAGTCGATGCTGACCTGGGCTGATTCCATGTGGGAAGAGTCCAACTGCTCCATAGAGTTTTCCAGACAGAGTGACTTTCAGAAGCGGAGCACCATGCCTCAATTTACCCTTGGAGGCTGTTCTAGGAGGATTTGAACCCCTAACCTTTTGATTAGTGATTGAGTGCTCAATTTTGTGCACCACCCGAGATTAAATCATGGGCTTTTAAAAGAAGAAGAAAAAAGTAGTGAACCAGAAGGATTAGCTGTGGATTTGGGGGAAATACATGTTTAAAGATAAGTGAGGTAAGATTGCATGCCAATGATAGCAGTTTCCCAGTTTTCGTTAGAGCTAACCTTTTCGTCATTAAGTGACTCTCAAGGTTAGTAAAGCAGGGCGGAGCTCGGGCCACGTCCCCAGTCACACACAGCCACCCTGTCCTTGCACGTATTACGATGCCCTGTACTTTCCCTCCTGCCAGCTGTTGAAAAGCAAAGTGCAATTCCAAGAGAGGGACCGGAACATGGAATGTCGAATTGATTATGGGTGACAACATGATGAAAAAGAGGAGGGGGGAATCCCATGTCCTTTTAAAAATGCGCACAGTGCTTCAGAAGGTGGCCAGAGTCATGGGACTGCTGTGTAACTTTGTGTCATAAATTGACACCAGTTGTACAGATCATCGTACTAAAAATAAATTCTTACCACTTAGCCTTTCCTGAATAAATTATACACAAGCCTGACTGGCATAGTTGTGTCGTCTTCTAAATCAACTTAATAAAATCATTATTACATACAGCATGTCTCAGGAGGATAAATCGTATTTCCACACAGCAGCGCCCATTTCCCTTTCCCCTGTGCTCCTCCTCCCAGATCATCATGGGAGTGATCCTCCTCTACAACTTGCTTGGCTCCAGCGCCCTGGTGGGCGCAGCTGTCATCGTGCTCCTCGCGCCCATGCAGTACTTCATCGCCACCAAGTTGGCCGAGGCTCAGAAGAGCACTCTGGTAAGGAACATCCTTTGGAAACTCGATGAGAAGAATCGAGTAATGCTATTTTATTTTTTAAAATATAGGAAGGGAGTGCATCCCACTCAGGTTCCTTTGGAAATCTATCGTTTCTTCTACTTCATTTCCATTCTTATGCGGCTGCTTTGTCTTCTCCAGGTTGCGCAAGCACGCTCTCAAAGTGGCTGGCAACCTTTCAGGTTTGATCAGCGAAGACTCCCACATGCCAGGGTCACCGTTCCTGATGTTTTAAGTGCCACGAGGGGATGAGTTGAAGCCTGGCTTTAGATCACTTAGGAAAAGGATAGATTTAAGGGGACTTGGAGGCCATCGTCACTTCATGACAATGAAGAGATGGGTCAAAGGACAAGGAAAAGGTCAGACCGGAGACTTCTGAATTGAAGTTTCCCCGGGGTCAAGTCCAGCCACGTCGTGATAGATAGAGTTGGATGGACATGTTTCGGTGGCACCTGTTCTGGTGAAAGATGCTCCTGGTCAGCTTGGCCAGATAGAAAAAACCTCGCTATTGACCTCCTCTGGCTCCAGTTTGCCGTGAAATCATTTCATCTGAGCAAGCATTGGCATCTTTTTAAGAAATACTTGCAAAGAATGAAATTGTTGACAGCATATTTAAAAATAAAGTTTGAATAAATATGAGCAAGGCTGTCTGTCTGTAAATCAGACACAAATGGAGAGAGGCTGCCGCTGGCACAATCGTTTCTGAAGCGGGCGTTTCCACTCTCGCCCGGGTCCTGCCCACTTGTTTTTCTGCCGTTACGAGGTGATGAGTCATGGAGTTTGCCTGAGTCACCAACTCTTCCTAATCTTTCACACAAATATAGAAAGGGCGAAGAACGGGATCATAAAGCCACCCAAGCGTCTGCCTTGAAGGGAGGCATTCATACTTCCTCGATGACTTTGTCGAACAGTCGTTTAGAGACACCTAAGTGTCTGGGATCCCAGTGGCCCAGCGACGAAGGATTGGGTTGCTCCCTCAAGGGTGGTGAATTGAACCTACAATCTTGCTCAGTGGAAGAAAGATGCAGCAGTTTACTTGTGTCAGGATGCACAGCCTTCGAAGCTGCGGGGCAGTTCCACTCGGTCCTGCTGGGCACTAGGACTTGAAACGGCTGCGGTGGTGAAAGTGGCTGTTATTGTTTTTCTTGGTTTACACTTTAAGTCCTTGTAGAGACAAAAAAAACACAACAAAACAAAAAACCCCACCAGCTGGTTACTATTTTTACTTCCTTCCATCTCTCCTTTATACCTGATCTTGTTTCTTAATGTGTAACACGTCATTTTTTTAAATCTGGCTAATGATTCTTAGATGAAATGATTGTGTTGGTGGGGGAGGAAGCAGAAATCATTGACTGTCTGCTACACATCCTTCTACAATGAATTCAAGTGGATATTATTTGGTAATGCTAAGTTAGGCCTTAAAGTTTACCCAGACGTTTGTAAAATTCTAAAGTCAAGAATAAGAGACTTGGTGTTGATAATTGTATTATGAAGATGCCGTACAAATACCCATAAAATAATACCCGTATATTCTGTAAGAGACAAAGTGACATTTCTTAAATTCATTCCTTACCTTATTCTACGTATGAGTGATACTTCTGAAGGAATAACATGATGTAGGTGTGAGAAAAACCCATGTAAATTTTCTTTATCTTGTCTCTGAATTTATGCATCTATTAGCTGCAGGCATCATTCAAGGAAATCATGCAAAACTAAAGAAATTGCTTATATTTAAACAAAAGGAACAGACATAAACGTTCAGAGCTGGGGAGAAATTTTAAGGTCGTTTCATTCAACTTCATTTTAAAGTTGGAGAGATTGCAGCACAGAGAGTTTAGCTACCTCTGGGAGCCTCTCAATTATTGTTCATGAAAAAGCCGATAGCAACATCAAGATCTCCTCAATTACACAGGACAGAAGACTGGATGCAGCTTGCCTTATTTTTCTACCTTTGTTTTATAGGATTATTCCACCGAGAGACTGAAGAAAACAAATGAAATATTGAAAGGCATCAAACTTCTAAAGCTGTATGCCTGGGAGCACATTTTCTGCAAAAGTGTGGAAGAAACAAGAATGAAAGAGCTATCTAGTCTCAAAACCTTTGCGCTTTACACATCACTCTCCAGTAAGTCCCTGTGTCTAGGGAAAGGTGGTGATAGGAGGAAATCCAAAAGAAGAGATCTGTTCAGTTTACATTATGACCAATGAGATGTCCAAATAAATAAGGGAAACTCCTTTATTTTCTTGACATGTTCTATCCAATAGCCCTTAACCATATATGTCTATTTTCATGGAACGAGCATGATAAGCCCAGGCCCAAAGTGACATGGTCCTGAATTTGATGCCTTGACTGTTGTATGTCGTATGTCCTTAGACAAGGTGCTTTACCCCTGAAATCCTTAGTTCATCTCGTCGTAACATTAGTGATAAGTGTACCTGTAATTGAAACCCTTTAATCAGTTTCTATTGGGATGGATAGTTGGTTTTCAGTATGAATTTGCTTATTTATATTGACCAGAATGTATTTTCATTTATCTTATCCTCAAAGATATGCTTCCAAATTATCTGTAGTTTGTTTTTCAATCTCGGATAGATTTTGACTTTCTGTTTTCTTCAATAGTACAGTTAAGAGTCAATTTCATAAACTGAGGATGAAAATGACCAATATTTCCAGGTGAAGAAAGCCAAACTACGGTCACAGGAAATCCATTTTGACCTTACCCTTTCAAGATTTTCTTAAACATGGAGTACGTTTTATCCTCCATTCGAGTTTTTTAAAAAGTGATTGTTGCAACATGTTTTCCTCAGAGCTGGACACTCGTACCTTCAAGGACTGTGATCCATCCGTGGTAGCGCTGCTCACTCAGACGTTGCCAAGCAACCCCCATCAGTGTTTGGTTTGAATTGTCTGTCACTCTTGCACATCTCGTTTGCTCCCCAGACGTTTGACCACTTAGATCTTAGTGACTATAAAATGCCTCCTTTATGAAATGGATTTAGAGAAACTACTTAGCTTATGAAGCCCATTTTTTTGAGTCCTCGTGTTTAGATGAGTTCAAAATGAAAAGTTAGTTTTGTGTTTCAGCTGTGAACCCATCTAACGTGGAGGGTTAAACATGCCAAAGACAGAACAATTGATCTCTCTTTGCCTAGTAGTGCTCTAAGCTGATTGCGTACTTTTCATCCTTTTTGACTTCTATAGCTGATTGCTGTAATTCGCCTATTGCAGAATGTGTATGCTGCCAAAAATGATAATGCCACTAGTAATATTAATAATAAAGTATATGGAGTATATACTTAGTTATTGCCATAAGAAACTGTATGTACATATATAGAATTTACATATATATATATATATATAAAATCTCATTTAACTTTCAGAGTACTCTAATGATTTTGTTCTTGTGGGTTCTAATAAGATGATACATAGACTGTCTTTAGAAAATCCCTAGGAACATAAGTGCTCCATGAATTGTAGCTGAAAATATTGACACGGAAACTTGAACAGAACAAATGCTGTTAGATCTGAACATCCATCTCTGCTCTTACATGAGTCGGTGGTCTTGCCACTTGAGATAATATCTGGAGTAGGGGAAGAGATTCTAGGAAATCATTTCTTAGTCTTTAGTGCCAAACGGCCACTTGGCATTTTCACACGTTGGGAAAAGGCAAATGGAGACTGGTTTATTTTTCTCTCTGCACCTTGATAGAGTTTTATATGGAGAAGTGGAAATAACATGGAACTTTCACCCCAGAAAGATCTGTGTTTGAATCCAAAGCCTATCGCCTGCTTGTCTGGAAGCTTGCATGTTCCTCCCTTTTTTAAAACTGCGCACCTCATGGTTGTGCGAGGCTACAGCGATCAGTAGAGACGATGGGTAAAGTACTACCGTGACTCAGACCTTAGTCATTGTGAGTTGTTGCGAACTAACAGAGGAAATGATAGTAAGCACAGAATGGAAAGCCAGAGTGCCTGGATTTGAATGCCCACAAGGTGCTCTTGAACTTCTCATTCTCACCTTTACAATGGGCTAATGAGTGCCTGCTAGCTCTGTACAGATGGCTATACAAATGGTTTTTAAATAGCGGTGTTTGTTCTCACTGTTCTTTAAAAAGAAACTTTGTATTTGAGGATGCAGAATAGAAACAGTAATAATGATGAGGGTTAAAAGAAGCAAATACATGTAGAAACTAAAGGGACGATGATGCATAAAGAAAGAGGATGCAGGCAGAAGCATGGCTCCTCATCTGCATTTTTGTGAAGCTCAGATGAGTGTTTGGGTTCCTCGTAGCACCCAAGCAATTGTATTGAGTAAGTGAGTCATCTCGGGGCGTGCACAAGCTCATCTGTCTGCTCGGTGCTCTGTGGTCTGCTAAGGGGAGCAGATGAGCGATGCTGCCCTCCCTCTACTTAGGCTCAGGAAACCTAGGGTCTAGCGTTTGCATGATCATTGCCTTGCTTCGTTCCCAACAATTCACTCAATATTTTGGGCTGTCAGTTCCTAAAATTCCCTGGTTTGTAGCTACAAATAATTCATTTGACTTATTATTTCATCTGTGCTTTCCAAGTGCTAGTATTTTAGCCTAAATTATGAGTTTTTCTTATTTCAACTGTTTACTATTCACATCAAAGGCTAAATATTTTCCTGCAGAGATATCTAAACCAGCAGATGACCCAGGATATGGAATTATTTTTTAAGGGAAAATTAATATCACTTTTGAAAAGGGAACTTGAAATTACGTAAATTTTTTAAATATCTGGGTGGTACCCAATATTCATTTATTTAGATTAGTTGAATATACCCAACAACATACTAGTTATGCACGTGAACATCCCTCATGTATTAAGTTTAAATAATTTTGAATAATTTGTCTCATTGTAGGGATGTTTTGTATGCATCCTTTCCTTTGTAACAATTCATAAAAATTCTTCTTCCATAAAGAAAACATTTTCTGGTTAAGAGTAATATGTATTAGCTCATATAACTGTTGTCAAGGAAACATCAATGGGGAAATGTTTGTGGGCTCCAGACAAAATATTGTTTAACTCACTTGGTCCTTCCTGTCTTAAAGAAAAATTAATGTAGTAGTAGATGATTAGTTAAAGCTACTAAAAATATTTTCACAGTTCAATGAAACTAATATGGTTGACTTCTTTCCACAGTCTTCATGAATGCAGCAATTCCCATAGCAGCTGTTCTTGCCGTAAGCCACTTTTTCTTGCTTTTATAAATGGAACCAAGTCAGTGTTTAAAAATGATTTATGCACAAGGATGTGTGGGTGGTCATATACATGACCTCATCTCTATCATTTGCTCAAATCCAGACTTTTTCAACTGAGGTAGTACAGGCATTTGGGACCAGAAAAGTATTTGTTGGAAGAGGTTGTCCTGTGCATTAGAGTGTTTAGCAGCATGCATGATTGTACCGCTGAGGTGCCAGCAGCACCAATGTAAATATTTCCAGTGACTGCCAAATGCCTTCCTCGCCGCACCTGAGCACAGTTCACAGAGACTGGGAAGCATAGTTCTTCTAGCAGCCTCTTCCAGCAGTATGTTAGTGCAACAGCAACAACTGAAATGGTAAACGGTTTCATGAGTACATTTCATATAAAACATGACAAACCCAGCTGCTAGTATTATTTTTAAAATATAAGTAAGTTTGCACAGCACATGTATGTTGTCAATTAAAAAGATAAAAGGACCCATAATCGAGAGCTTAAAAAAAAAAAAAGGAACCTTTGCTTTTTCTCTCAGAAAATTTAGTACTGCCTGGAAAGAGCTCCGATGGTTGTCATGAGCTCTGCATTCTTCTCCCAGCTGTTGCCCCCACTCAGTAATTTTACCGAAGTCCATTTCCTCGTCTGAAAATAGTCTTTCTGTCCTTTTCGTGAATTTATTTCCGAAGCAACCCATAAACCAATAATCCCTCTACCCACAAGTGTTGTTGGACTTGGAGCGTAATTTCAATGGAGTAATTGTTTTCCTTCGTTTCAATGGACACATTGGCCCCGTGGACTGTGTCAGGTGGGTGGAGTTGGACGTAAGCACGTGTGAGGCGTTCTCTAACGGAAGCCCCTCTTTGCGCAGACATTTGTGACCCACGCCTATGCCAGCCGGAATAAGCTCAAGCCTGCAGAAGCCTTTGCTTCGCTCTCCCTCTTTCACATCCTGGTCACCCCTCTGTTCCTGCTCTCCACCGTGGTCAGGTTCGCAGTCAAAGCTATCATAAGGTACGTCCTTAGGAAACGTCAAACTCTGCTTGATTTTCAAAATAGTATGTCCTGTTGGTAGGGAGTTGGAAAAAGCCGAAGAAAGAATATCTACTTTTGCACAGAGATAGGCCATTGGTCAATCTTTGATATGCTATTTTCCAATCATTTATTTTATGGAAAGAATAATTATTTTAAAATAAAAATGTTGCTCTTACATGCTTTTTAACTCTTTATTCCACTTGTTTTCAAATTATTTCCCCCTCGTTAAAATTTTATAATTCATAGTGCTTAAAGCTTTTATGATTTTTTTCCATCGGAAACATTCTATTTAAGGATGCCCTTTTATTGGGCATTTAGCACATTTCCATTTTGTTGCCAACTTAAGTAGCAATGAGGGAAACATGTTTGTTTCCCTTTCACCTTTTCTCTGATTATTTTTTTCTAGGCTAGCTCTCTGGATGTATGGATATTAGATCTAATATGGTACACATCTTTTAAGGTCCTCGATGAAGATGGCTTATGTTGCTTTCAATTGAAAATGAAAAGTTGCATACATTTTAAAGACTAATTTTTTTTAAATGAATGTGCCAGATTATACTCACTTCTCCAGTGATGGGGAGTACACATTAGTACACATTTACTGCTTTAATTTTATTTTAAGACGACAAAAGTGAAAAATCAGGGCTTATTGGTCTATTAGTCTCTGCAAAACAATTACTTAGTCTTGTTAATATATCCACTTTTAGTTTTAAGTAATCATTTTATTGGGGGCTCTTATAGCTCTTGTACATCAATTATATCAAGCACATTTGTACATATTTTGCTATCATTATTGTCCTTCTAATTGAGCCCTTGGTATCAGCTCCTCTTTTTTTGCTCTTTAAAATATGCTTCTGTAGTATTTCCAAACAAATTTATCTCAGACTTATAATTTTCCACAGTGCACAAATTGGAAGCAGAGAAATGATACAATGATGTCTATTTCCCCAAGATTTTACTCATATTACATAAATACAATCCCAATCCCATTGTACATAAATACATTGTACTACATGGTACATACCAGAGACTGTACTATATAATACTCTTATAAACAAGGAAACCTTAAGGTAGTATTTTTCTCTTTGCTTTAAGATTATGAAATGCTTTTAAATAGTCAATACCATATTTATATCTTTCCTTTGAAAAGCTTACCGAGATATTATACTAAAGGAAAATGGGAAAATGGGGTCTTAAATATGTAAAGCAAGCTGTTGCCATTGACAGCTGGATAGAATATCTCTAAAAGCTTTTTAAAATGATACCATTTTCCTGATATTTATGTAATATGGAGAAAACTAGTATTTAATATTAAAAAATATTTTTAAAACATCTGAACCTCTCATTTTAGGAAGTAGCTTATCTTAAAAAGACAGTTGCCATCAATCCAATTCTCACTTAATAATATGGTGGCCTCATGCGTGTCAGAGCAGAACTGTGTAACCGAGGGTTTTCCAAGCACCTCTGGAAAAGCTAGCATGTTTAACTTTTTGGTTAGCAGGCTACTAACACTTTAGCCTTCTGTGCCATCCAGGGACTGATCTATATATTGACTTCACAGTGGCTTAATATCAAATAACCTTAAAATGCATATAAATTATCTTATTCTAAACCAAGTTCTAACCGGGACACAATAGGAGTTTGATTATTTCAGTCCTGGTCTCTAAGGCACGTCATTAGAAATCAGTTCTGGAGCTGTTAGAATTTCAAGCTCAGACACTCGCTGTCTTTTCTGAATGTTCACTTCCTGAGACACTTGTACGGATCGCTTGTAGCACCACTTCCAAATTAGGCAGTGCGCTGGAAGGGAGGCGACTTCAAGCAATAAAATTGATAAATGGCCAGGGTCTGCTATTTTGGTCCTTATTTTCGTTTTCTCCACTTAACAGCTGTCCCTTACATGGTTGCACTTTTCACTGGAACTTGACTTTCTGCTACAAATGGAGACGGAAAGCAGTTGATCATTTAGAAAGGAGAAATCTTCTAAAATCAGCAATGACCAAGCATCAAAAGGGCGTTAGGAGAGGACTGCAAAACAAACACAAATATCTAGGAATGGGCTCCCGATCCATGGGCACACGGTTTGGCTGAGCATATTCTGGTACAGCTGAGGGTGGAGAACATTCCCTTAGGTTTCTGCGTAGCATTCTCCCTTTTGTACCACCGAGGGAAAAGCCATTTGCCAGTTTGCGAAAGACAAGTCTGTCTGCAGGGCTCTGCTCCAGTTAACCCAAGCCATAGGCCAAATAGAATGTGGTATAAAAACGTCTCCTCTACAGAGAGTTTCAGTGGTTGATTTGTGGCTTTCTCAGAGGTAGCTGGTCAAAAGAGGAGGTTAATCCCCCACCTCCCTGTCCCCCGTGTGCTGATTCTGGGAACTCAAGTGAGCCTTTTCCCAGTGTTGACTGGACTCGATGTTTCTTCTGTGCCTGGAAACCCATGATCTCTCTTCTATGCCAGTTGGCCTACAACTAGTGGAGCAGCCTGTTTATAATGGGAGAGTTGGGTCAGCTTTTTTGAAACCTTCTCCTCAGGGCTGTGGACGTCACACCACACTGTTTAATGCCTTCAGAAATGGGGTGTGCTTGAGTGGGGTTGGCTCTCAAACTTCTTTACTGCGGGAAAATTCTAGATATGTAACATTCTGATGCGGGAAGAGTCTCTGCTTCCTTTTCTCCATGTTTAGCTTGTTAGCCAATGTTCTGCTCATGGTGCTTGATGGGTGTACTGCATAGATGATACATAATGAAACTGCAAAGAAGAGGACAATCATCATTCAAGTTATTTCCTCAATGTTGCAGTTTTCTAGAGCTTTAAGAACAGAGTGGCCCAGTCTGCTTTTGCAAAGAGGAAAGACAAGATGAGGGAAAGAGACCATTATGTCAAATACTAAAATAGACTAAGTAAGAGCGATTTTTCAGGATGTTTGCCTTGCTTTTAGACTTCAGCTGTAAGGAAATGATTTATGTATCGTGTTTTTCTGGAGGATATTGTCAGGATAAGCTCCAGTTGTTGTATAGTATCCTTTATAAATAACTTGAGTGTAGATTTCTGGGATGTGATGTATAATGCAAAATCTACGTCCAAAGATGTTATTTGCCAAGGAGGAAAAAAGAGCAGCAGCAGCAACAACAAAAAGGCCACATTCCTTGCTTTGTTGGAAAGCGACTTTGTATCCTTCTTCGCATGTGCTTCCCAAAGGAATGTGTGCTTGGCTAGTCTACTGCACTTACCTTCAATCAAGTAAATTGTAACTGATATTTATCATAGAGCATGCATGCCCTTTGGCCTGGCCCCTGTATTTTGGTTTAGAAAATTTCACATTTCTTACAAGAAAAACACATAACTGCCAACAATAAAATCAGATATTCCCAATCAACGTAGTACTTCTCCAAGGTTTTCCAGCTGTGTCTAAACACCCAAAGTGAAATCTGAGCTATGAAAAAACGAACACGTGTGGCTAAAAGCTTAAAATTTTGTCAGTTATCTAAATGAAATGAGAAATTAGCAAAAGATTGTACTCTGACAATGGTCAAGAAAGGACAGCAAATTGCCTGTGTTCAATCCGTGGCTCTGCCGAGGGAGTTGATCTCAAACCCGAGCCCATGTCTCCATCGCTCAGCTTCCTCACTTGTCAGGGGAGCTCTGTGATAGCTTCTGCTCAGGGGGGGTTGAGATAATTAAATGAAAAAACCACCAAAGGTCTCCAGCCCATTACCTGACTATTTTAGGTTTTTGAAAATCTCTATTTGCTAATTTCAAATGATGGTAAATTAGCTGTGTTAGACAGGGTTCTCTAAGGAAACAAAACGAGTGCTGATAATTTTATATATATTTATACTGATAGATAACATAAGAAATAAACAGTTAATTAAATTATAAAGCAAAAAAAAATTATAAAGCAGTACAAATGGCTCAGTGCAACTCACTCCCGTGAGACAGTTGTGAGACACTGGCAGTCCTTCAAGTCTTGAAGGCTGCCCGGTAGTCCTCTGTAGAGCAATTCAGGCTATCTGGCCACAGGCAGCAAACAGCAAGACACGTCACCAACAGTCAGCCAGATGACAGGGTCTGACAGTCCTTAGCTCAAGAGATGTAAATTCCAATGGTGTGGCAAAGCAGGTCTTGAAGGAACCTCAAACTACATGGACGCAGTCCAAGGGTTAGGTGTCCCACAGGTAGTGTAGCTTGCAAATTGAGGCAAAGAATAAGCGAGGCAGCCACATGCTGGTTCGATGATCAAAGAGCAAGAGAGCAAAAGAGGGGAGGCTCGTCAAGCCATTTATCTTTCTGCCCTTCAATTAATCCCACATGTGTTTATTGGCCAGGTTGGCACAGTAAACTAACTATCTCATTAGCAAATGGAGATATTAAACATAATTGTCCTGTCACAGAGAGACAGCTATGGGCCCATATTATTTAGTCACAGCGCTCCTGTACATTACTAGAGAAATTCTGTACATTTCAGGAAGTTCCCGGGTAGCACAGGTGATTTGCTCTTGGCTACTCACATGAAGGTTGGTGGTTTGAACCCACCCACTGGCACGGTGGGAGAAAGGCCTGTCGGAATGATTACAGCCAAGGACTCCTTAGGGAGCAGTTCTCTCTAACACAAAGGGGTTTCATGAGTTGGGATTGACTTCATGACAGCAGATTTTCTTGTTGTTCTTGTTGACAGGGATTACAAAAATGAGGGAAATACCCTCAAACTCACTCTCGTGACGTCAATTCTGACTCACGGTGACCCCCATTAGCAAGAGTAGAATTATCCCTGTGGGTTTCTGGGACTGTAAGTCTTTATGGGGGGAGAAAAGCTCATATTTTTTTGCCAAGGAACAGCTGGTGCTTTTGAACTGCTGAACTTGGGAGTAGCAGCCCAACGGGTAACCATTAGGCCACCAGGGCTTCTTCCAAAGATAATAACGAGGGCAAAACCCACAAGAGGGCTTCCAGTAATTGGAAAGACCAGGATGGGAAGCTCATTGCAATATGCTATGATAGTGCTGTGCGTGAGAGGACATAAACCCCTAGGTGAAGATCATTCAGGCTTATTGATTCGAGGGAGACAACTTAGCCAGTGATGGTTCAAAGGAAATAGAAGGAAAAATAATAATAAGTAGGATCGAGCCAGTTGCAGAGAGAAGGAGAACATGCTCTAAAAGAAGGGATGAGATACCCAAGAGGCAGGGGTGAGGCTGCAGCGAGTGGATCAAAGGTAGGTGAGTAGACTAGGAAAAGGATCCCCGGGGGAGTCCAGGTTGGTTGCTCTCCAGAAGAGTGAACTCGAGGTCATCCAAAGACACCCCAGGAGAAAGGCTTGGCCATCCAGGATTTTCAGGAAACCAGCCACTGACACCGACCGCACATCTCGACTCAGACACGCCTGGGTCTCCAGGAGTTGGATTCAGTTCAGTGGCAACTAGTTCTGATTGGCGAACACACTTTGATGTGGAGAGTGTCGTGACAGAGCTGGAGAATAAGATTCTGATCACCTTGAACAAGATGTTAAAGGCGCTAAAAGGCAAAGGGACGCCATGCTGCCTTGTGAAAACACAGCCATGGCAGGGGGGTGGAAATCAATTCATCCCTAGTCAGGAATTACACATTTCCCATAATTCTTTGCCTTTGATTTCCTAAAGAACCTCATATGAATAAGAACTGCTCCATTATCCATGTATTTGTTCATTAGCTATTTTTTGTTGTTGTTGTTCATTAGCTATTTTATGAGTGAATTACTATGTTGCGTTTTAGGCATTGGGCTAGAGTTGAAAGCCCTTGCTCTTACGGAGTTCAGAGTTTAGTGGGAGAGATGTGTGTAATCAACAGGAATAACAAAAAAAAGACAGCAAGCAGAAGAGCAGTAGGAGCAGGAGCCCTCAGTCAGAGAGCTTGGAATAAGTGTTAACAGGAAGGGGGAGGAAGGAAGCTGCTCGGAGAAGGATTAGTGTTGGAGTATGTCAATACTCACCGCCACTGGAGTCTGAAGTGGGCGGCTCTAAAGAGGAAACCACCCCTCCCACCAATGGTTTCATTCAGGGATCCTTGCATCTCGATGCTCATGAAAAATGAACTTCATTTATCCCATATCCCATAATATGATTTGTGTGTGTGTCCTAGAAAAGTGAAATGCACAACGAAACTACCGATTTAGCTTAAATGTCTGGATCATTGGTTTCTTCTTTCTTTGATCTATTCTGCAAGCATTTATGAAGCAACGTGTGCCTGGCACAGTTGGACTTAGAATTATAAAGGCAAATGAGCCTGGCTCTCTGGACTTAAGCTTTGTGGGCAGTGTGAGATTGTGTAACAATTATTATTTTGATTTATAAAACTGTGCTCCTTGAACTCAAATCTTTTCAAAGCACAAGGTGAGAATGACCCTTAAAACCTATAAAGTGGAAGAGGAGCTGCCATTTAAGGTGAAGAAAATGTTATCGTGAGGCATCGCTACCACTGTGTCCCTCGAGTCTGTACGGTCAGGCCTTGCTCACAGGCTGTGCCTCTCCGGCCCAGAACAGAGAGTGTAAACCAAAGCCCTTCCTGAATAAAGTTCGCTTTGGCTGTTTTCAGCTGCTGTGTTGTTGAGCCACCCCTTGTGACAGAACATAACTGCCTCGCAGACTCTTCCTGGGATAATCTTTCTGAGAGCAGGTCACCAGGTCTTTCTCCCAGTTCCCTATAAATGCCACCTGAAAGTTAATCATTAGACTGCCCTAATGCCTTTTCGCCATCGTAATGTTTTCTATGGAAAGGGCAGAAGTTTCTATGGCATGCAACACCCAAGGGCTTAATGATCATGGGCAACAGACTGAATTCAATTTGCTTCTCATTATTCTATTAGTCTGCCACAAAGACAAACTCTGCAGACCCATAAGGAAACATTAAGTTGACTACATGAAGCGCAGATGCAATTAAAAGAAAAGGACAATTTTATTTCTAAGATATTTTTTCTAGTTTCCTATTAAAGGTAAACCACTTCCCCTATAGTTAGTGCTGCAGGTACACACTGGTCTGTCCACTTGCATCTCGGCATGCTCAGAGGTGCATGTCTTTTCCTCTGCAAGTACACAGAATTCCCCTTTCGTGAATTTTTATTTATAGGATGATGTTCTCCAATCATGATGCTTTGGGTTTTTTGCTCCTGACCTTATGGTAATGCTCTAAGAAGATTACAGTGGGAAATGTGGGTAGGTCATGGAGTCTTTTGCCCAGCCGAGGGACACCACAGAGTCCCTGAGGAGTGCAAATCGGTTATGGGCTTGGTTGCTAATGGAAAGGTTGTAGATACAGAGATACCTCAGAATAAAGTCCTGGTGATGTCCTTCAGAAAAATCAGCCATGGGAAGCTCTATGGAGCAGTCCTACTCTGACACACGCGGTTGCCCCGAGTTGGAATTAAACTCTCTTCCATTGTAGGGGTTCTCAAATCATAGGATTATGAACCGCCGTCAAATGTTCTTAAAATGAATGTTTTGACTGAGTAGGTAAGAGGTGGGACCTGAAATTCTAAGTTCCCGTGTGATGTTGAGGTTTCTGGTTCTTGTGTGACACGCTGACTAGCAAAACCTTGCCAGTTCAGAAAATCTGTGTAATTTTTGGTACTTAAACAGAATTAAAGGAGTGCCGGTGACAGTGTGTGAAGCTGCTGAACACAGATTCACACCCACCAGCCACTCTGAGGGGGAAAGATTAGTCTGTGTGTTTTAGATTCTTATCTCAGAAATCCTAAGGAGCAGATCTGCTCTATCCCATCAGATAACTGAGTTGGAATTGACATGATGGTGGTAGGTATTTTTTCTTTTTCTTTTTTCTTTTAAGCAGAGTGGGAACATGGACTCTGGGGTCATATGGCAGGGGTTTAATCTCAGCTATGCAATTGATATGCTAAGTGGTCTTGAGCAGCTTAATTAACCTCTCTGCACCTTACATCCTTTCATTTGTAAAATTAAAATAGTAAGAACATTTCCATTATTGATATTATTATAACCACCATGCTTCTGGTTCATCTACGATTCCACGGTCTTATTAAAAAAGAAATTCAATTGTATAGGAAGTTTGGCCGAATTTAGGATCACCCACTCATCTCCGTTTTCCTGGGATTTTGCTATGAGCCCTGGAAATCCTATCTCCCAGGAACCCTTCGCAGGTAATTTAGATACATGATCACCCAGCTGAATTCCCAGTTGGTCTTGAGAAGTACCTCTCACAGGCTTGTGTAGGGCATGAGAAAAGGGATGGCGAGGCTCCATTAATGTAGCTAGAACCATTTGAATTATATGGCCTTTTTGTGATTGTTCTATTTTTTAACCCATTTCCTGCTTGTCCCTTTTTGCCTTGTGCAGTGTTCAAAAGCTGAATGAGTTTCTCCTGAGTGATGAGATAGGCGATGACAGTTGGCGACCTGGTGAAGGTTCTCTTCCTTTTGAGTCCTGTAAGAAGCACACGGGTGTTGTAAGTGGTTTTTCTTGTTTTGTAAGCCACAAGGAAGGAGCTCTCCTTCCCAGGAGAGACTTGTGTCCATCTGCGTTCACAAACTTATGGGGAGGCTCTGCTCTGTCTCATTGGGTGAATAATCTGCTCTGCCTCATGGGTATAATTTTTGCTTTGGAGGCTGTGACTATGGGTCAATGCTAACAGAATGCATGGTTTCAGATGAGTGTAGTTATAATAGACTCTAAGCTTCATGTTTTTAGCTTATTTATATGAAGAAAACTTGCACCTGCTTCTACAAGAAAGTCCATTAAATAAAAAGAAAAAATCAATAAACAGATGCATAAGGTTTGCTTTTATAAATCATGACACAATTATCCAACAGTGCTAGTACATGTTCAACATAACAGGAAGCTGAGCAGATCTTTAATGCAGGCTTTATATAAAAATAATACAAAATAAGCTTAGTACTCCTACATGCAGCTATATTGGAGTTTTGCTTAAAAAATCCTTTTTGGTGTATTATGCTTCTTGAACACATTACATTGTGTTATGTACCTAATATTGTTATTTTCCAGATGAATATACTGAGTTTGCAGGTTATTTGATTTCAATAAAATCATAGGATTTCTAAGTGAGAATCAGAACTAAACTCGGAGTCTCCTAACTCCTAACTCCTGGACTAGTTTCCTCACTCACACCACAAATATTTACTCAGTAGCCACAGAAAATTCTGGTCGGTACGATTTTTCCATGTAAATAATAATAGGAAATCATTTACTTGTGTTTACTTGTGCTTCCAGGCTTGTTGATTCATACTTTATGCCAAATTGGAGTGGACATGGTGAGAAATGATACAATTCAGTATCCATTTTTAAAGCTGACCTGATAGGAGGCATTCTGGTGGGCTAGATGTAGAGAATAAGGGAGAAAGAAGACTCATGGGTGATCCTACCTAGGGTGTGGGCTTGACTCCTAGGTCAGTGACAGGAAACTTTTTTCTCCCTTGTCCGAAGTGGAGACACCAAGAAACAAGCCGGTGGGTGTTGAGGAGGTGGAATCCAGAGGCATAGTTTGCATGTGATCATTTGGCATAGCTCACTTGCCATCTACAAAAAGGGAAGTCGGAACTGGAGATACAACTGGATTCTGTCCTGTTTTATTATGTCAGCTGTACATCTATGGAACTAGATGATACGTACTACTTCCTTGAAGGTGTGTGCTGATGGAATTCAGGTTCTTGTCTTACCAAGAAAAGATTTACTTTTGGAAAACGTAAGGCATCATAAGAGAATTTTATGTAGAGACTGTTCGGAGGAAGAGATCTTTCCCAGACAACACAAATGGCCTTGGTGCCTCTTGTCTCCTGCACGCACACCCAAGGTTTGCAAAGAATTCCCTCATGTATAAGATTCTCAGGAAGGTCCCCTGGCCCAGGTAGTTCCATGGGAGTAGCAAGGGGGGCTGGGAAATGTAGCCCCAGAATATTGTCATGGACTGCGACATGCTCTGTCCCAATCTACACCTTTGCTCCTTTGCCTTGCTTCAGTTTGCCAGAAACATTCTAGGTCCTTAAAATGATACATATTTCAGAATATTTAAGTAGAAGGATATTATTCTGAATGAGTCATAAGTTAATGTTAATTGTTCATGTTAGTATTAGGGAAAATACTAATATATCGAGTGATCAAATAAAAATGTGATCAAATAAAATTTGATCATGTGATCAAATAAAAATGCATATGCAGTCTCCTGCCTAGAATAGCTTGGAAATCACCAAGTGTTTACTAAGACATGAAATTATATTAAGTTTCTATTCACATCATTTTAAAAACTACTAAGACTAATGCAGATGAGCATTTGGCTACACTATTAGACTTACTGTCTGTTTTTAATTAAGTTTTCTTCTTCCTTTTTTACTTTTTGTGAAGTCATTTATTCAGCAGGTGCAGCTTTGTCTGAAAAGAAACTGCTGCCCATGTTGACATACATAGGAGCAAGACTGCCTTCGAGTGCTTGCTTGCCATCGTGTAGCTACGGACACACACGCACTACGTTAAACAGTGCCTATCATTTCATGCAACAGGACACTCTTAAAGAGACAATTTATTAGAACCAGCTCCCCGTGCTCTGGATGATTTGATATTACCAAATAGCTCATTGGATCAGCTTTCAGAGACTTGGGGATGAGCAGAGTGAGATGGCCTCAAGGAAAGGATGCTAAGAGGTCACGTTCATGACGTTAGGAAGTTTGTGGAGTTTTGCATTAGACGAGAGAGAGAGAGAGAGAGAGAGAGAGAGAGAGAGAGAGAGAAGAAAAATTGAACCAAGGAAAGGCTTTTGGAAGGAAAAAGAATCCCCTTCTAAAGCCTCCAATATCTTCAGGGTTATTGAAACCAGACTGGGCTTCTGATGTCTTTCAGGGTCGTTCATCACTGCTGATGGGCCAAACCACAAATCGACAAAGTTTTGAAAACAGAGTGAAAAAAGCTGTGTGCTTTACAATCACACTAATGGAACCCCTTCTTGAGGGCGCTTCAGATGCTATGCATTCTGTAAAAGCTTAGAGTTAAGTGTTTTGGGCTGTGGAATCTCCATGGAGAATTTGTGACATTCTAGAGCCAGTCTCTTCACATTACATCTGTGAACTCCAACTCAAGCCTCTGTCAACACATCTTCTCCCCCCTCCTGGGTTTTGTGAAGGGTATGAAGTCATTCCTCTTGGACTTCTGGAGCAGCCCTACTATAGATTCGAAGACTCTAGAAGCCAGTGGATTTTATGCACAGGTCTCAATCTGTTTTGTGGAAAACAAACCGAGCTTTCAAAAGATAGTGGCTTTCTCCAACATCTCATGCACTGAACCTCCAGACAGAGTCAGTTATAGGAATGAGGGATGATGGGGCGGGGGGCAAAAGCAAAAATACAATTTAGGATTCTGTTTTCATTAAAACTCATCAAGTATTTTCTGTGTGATAGAACCATTCCTAGTGTTTTACGTTCAGTCTTCTCGGTGGCTTTTTAACGTCTAATTATTTGATTGTAGTCTAGCAATGTCCTATTTAATTATTTGATTTTTTATTGAGACACCAAATCATTAAATTGGAAGAGCAATATCTTGTTCAGATCTAAATTACCGAATCTATATTAGCCCATGCCTAATTTCAATGCAGAATTCAATTGGTTTATTAAAATGTTAAGCCTGATGTTACAGGAGGAAAATATTTTAAATCTGGACTCTTTTGCTATTTAGCCTGTATAATCTCTTAGAGGTGTTTAACTAAGACAGAAAATTGTATGTATTGAATTACTTACTCATTATACTCCTGAGACAAATTTTTATGTTTATGAATATTTCCAAGTTAGAGGTTTGCAGAGGTTAATTTTCTAGTTTCTCTTTAGCCACTTATCTCTATGTATGTGAAATTAAAATCAAATGATTAATTGAACTGATTTTTAGTGATGCCCTAATTCAAGTTCATTTTAAGTACGAAGCTCATCAAATCTTAGCTGGCACCCTCTTTATAATGGAGGTTTTAGTCCTTTGACTATTACATTCAAAGTAGATTAAATCATTCAATCATTATGGCTCATTATGAATCAGCATCATGGTGGGGGGAATCCTAGAGCAATCTACTTTTCCCACTCTCCAATGTACACTGTGATTTATGTGATTGCTTTAGATTCAAAATCCATTATTCAGAAGACGATCAATAATGTGATATCGGAGGCTTTATAAGTCTGACAGCCTCACAAGTGGATTCTGTTTTGACCTGAATTAATCTGATTGGTTGTCCTTTTACATTGTATATAGTTGTTTTAACTATTTGATTGGTTAATTAATTAAAAGTTATCACTGGATATCCAAAATATTTTGGATCCTACTCCTTTAACTCATGGATCATATGTCATTTGTATTTAGAGGTTTTTAAATTAGGTAAGCTTACAGCATAGTGTTTTTATTAGTACTTCGTTTTCTGGGGGTGAATCCATTGAAATCATGAATATGTCACATACAATTTACTTGTTACTTTTCTTGGAATTCAAGTGGAGAAGTGGCCATGTGGATTAATGTTCAGTAAGCTTCTGCTTTTTCACACAAGCTGCATCTTGTGTTCTTTTTCACTTGGAATGCAGCCGCCGAAAACTATAAACAGGAAGCAGCCTGGAAGATATCACCTGGACAGCTATGAGCAGTCCACCCGCCGTCTACGTCCGGTAGAGACAGAGGACATTGCAATAAAGGTTATTTGAATTCATGAATTCCTATATAAATAGTTTATTATTTTGTGCTTGAGTTTTGCAAAAACCTATTCCAAATTGCGTCTCCAACTTGCTGTATAATGATCCTTACTGCCAATAACATTATTTTCAATATCCTGATAATTTTCCATTCTGACCCATCTTCCAAACAGATTTTGCTCCAGTATTTATAGTTGGAGAAAGCTTTTTTTCTGAATCTGTGCCAAGAGCTAATATCCAATGTATTTCCTTTAGTTCTCATTTGTGTTTAGCTACAGAATAAATAATTGATAGAGAAGTTTCTCCAACCAAACCCACTGCCATGGAGTTGATTCCAACTCATAGTGACCTTACAGGACAGGGTGGAACTGCCCCTTGGGGTTCTGAGATTGTGACTCTCCATGGGAGTAGAAAGGTCGTCTTTCTCCTGCTTCAAGGACAATACTATAAACCCCTTTCTTACGGAACTAAATGAACTAGTAAGTGTAATCGGGAGAAAGTTTAGACCAGGGTTTTGTACATTTACCCAGCTTCCCACCAGTGACTGATCTAATTTCAAGCTGAGCTTTTATCCCATCACCCAGACACATGTGTTTAGGTAGAACAGGCAGCCACAGGAACACGTGCTGGCTGATGCTCCAGACGAGATGGAGGGTAGGGTCCGTGCTGTTCAAGGACTGAGCCAGATTTCAGCAGAAGTCAAGGGCCTCTGGCCATTAGAACCAGGAGAATCTTGAAATGAGCTCTTTGAGAAAATCAGCTATTTTGGCTGCTCTGGGCTTTACCACTAGCCTTGGACTGCCCACCCCAATTAGAGAGAAGCAGGTTTGGGGGTTGGATGGTAAAGCCAAGCTATGCATTTAGCTCTCCCTTCTTAGTACCTGACCCATTGCTCTACAATGCCAGAGACGGACAACAGAATCCTGGCCCTTTCAGAATTCTCTGGTGTCAATGTCACTGTCGCCGTCACTTTTTTCCTCCTCTTATTTTGCAGCCTACCTGAATCGTCCGATGACTTGAGTCCTTTCCTTTTCTCTCAGGTCACGAATACCTTTCTGTAGCATGCCGACTTGATGCATCCTCACCACTTATGCAGGCCACTCCGTGGGATGGAGAAAATGACACAGGGGGAGAGTTTAGCACAGCCTCAGATATAGTCTCTCCAGCCTCAGCTGACCCTCCGTACTTCTTGGCAATCTTGCTGCCTGCCTCTTATCGACATAATTTTCCATAACGACAGTAGCTGTTGGGCTGTCACCACTCTTCCCACCTCCTCCTCTCTCCTTCAGCCTCCTCCTTCCTCTGATAGCCTTATCTCCGAGTTCCCTGCAAACACACAGGCTGTCATGTGGGGCTTAGGTCAGCTCCATATTTGTCCTCTCCCAAACTCATCTGTGCTTGCGCCTCTTCTGGCTCCTTGCTTACTGACTCTGAGAAGCAGCCTCTGAGGCTGTATAATTTCTTCAAGAGTGTCATTTTATTAGGGGCTCATACAACTCTTATCACAATCCATACATGCATCAATTATGTAAAGCACATTTGTACATTCGTTGCCCTCATCATACTCAAAACACTTGCTCTCCACTTGAGCCCCTGGCATCAGCTCCTCATTTTCCCCCTCCCTCCCTGCTCCCCTCTCCCTCATGAACCCTTGATAATTTATAAATTATTATTTTGTCATATCTTATACTGTCCGATGTCTCCCTTCACCTATTTTTCTGTTGTCCGTCCCCCAGGGAAGAGGTTATATGTAGATCCTTATAATCAGTCCCCCCTTTCCACCCCACCCTCCCTCCACCCTCCCGGTATTGCCACTCTCACCACTGGTCCTGAAGGGATCATCTGTCCTGGATTCCCTGTGTTTCCAGTTCCTATCTGTACCAGTGTACATCCTCTGGTCTAGCCGGATTTGTAAGGTAGAATTGGGATCATGATAGTGGGGGATAGGGTAAGAAGCATTTAGGAACTAGAGGAAGTTCTGTTTCATCGTTGCTACGCTGCACTCTGACTGGCTCATCTCCTCCCTGTGACCCTTTTGTAAGGGGATGTCCAATTGCCTACAGATGGGCTTTGGGTCTCCACTTCACACTCCCCCTTATTCACAATGATATGATTTTTTGTTCTGATGATGCCTGATACCTGATCCCTTTGACACCTTGTGCTCACACAGGCTGGTGTGCTTCTTCCATGTGGACTTTGTTGCTTCTGAGCTACATGGTCTCTGTTTACCTTCAAGCCTATAAGACCCCAGATGCTATATCTTTTAATAGCTGGGCACCATCAGCTTTCTTCACCATTTAGCCCGGTTTCATAAACTGATGCTCTAACCAGCTTGATTCATTCATTTTCCACATCACAATTTACTGACAATAGGCTTTTTCTTATTCGAGGTCTTTATCTGGAAATATCTTCTTTGAAATTCAATGTATATAAAATATTTGTTTAGCTAAAAATCAATATATTTAAAAAGACTTTCTCCAAGAAGTTTTTTGACTCGTCTCAACATAAACAATTTCCTTTCTGAACTGCTTTTGTCCTTATTTCCCCTCTTGTCCCCTCTACTCGTGACTTAGCCCAGGCTGTCTTGGATCACACTTTTTCTGCTCAGGGTGTGTTGGGCTAGCTGGTTGCTGTCTCTTGGGGAGCAGGGAAAGTGTACCATGCCTTCTTTGTAGCCTACACGCTTCCTCACATGTCGCATCATGTACAGTGGATGCTCAGGAAGTATTTGTAAAGCCTTTTTGCCACCTCCTCCCATCACAAATCACATGCTGTCTCTACCATGCCACACATTTTCTAAAGGAGAGGAAAACCTATGTGGAAAACCCGGTTGAGGCTTTCTAAGGAAAGAAGTGTTTCACGCTCTGATTCATGAATGCTATGAACCCTTTGGGCCAATCTAGGCTTCTCCATTCCTAACCAGGAATATTCTCAGAATTGCATGGTTTTTGAAATAAAATAAAATCTTAATTTGTGATCAGGTTGTATCTTTAGTTTCTCCCTGAACTTTCAGGCACCCTTCCTCCCTCATCTGTCTCTGCCCCTCCTTCCCTGTGCTTCGGTTCCACCGGACCTCCTTTCATCGCCCTCAACAACGGCTAACATTGTTGAGTCCACTTGACGGTTTTCAAAACAAATGGGCTACTTTGGCTGAATGCCTTTGTCAATAGCTGAGGTTTATGCCACCAAACAAGGTTGCCTCTTTTGGGTGCTCTATTTTATCTATGTATGCTCTATTTCATTTTTAATGGTTTCTTAAAGTCTAATGAATAAAGATAAATACATACATATAGTTAGTGGTTCTCATTCTCCTAAGCTTACCAAGCCATTCTGTTAGAATCATGGATACCTTGCATCACCAGAAATACCCCTCAACTTGTCTATCAGTGAGAAAACAATAAGTGTAAGTGTTACACTGGAAGACAGTTGGCATGATCAAGTTTTAAAAATATTCACATGGAAATGATCCAGTAATTCCAAATTTTGAGCTAAAATTGGTATATTTTTAGCATGTATTTATGCTATATAATTTCAAAGACCCTTATTTTGTTTCCAATTTTCATTGTTTTTCATTTAGCCCATTATGTACTTATATCTATAAGCTAGAAGTGGATCATTGTGTACCCTATCTTGTGTTGAAAGTCTGTCAGTGCATTCAAATTTTAAAAATTTTAATTAAAAAAACTGTTCTCCAATATCACATTTATACTTAATTTTATAATTTTATGTCTTTATTCTTATTCTTTAGGTCACAAATGGATATTTTTCATGGGGCAGTGGTTTAGCTACATTATCTAATATAGATATTCGAATTCCAACAGGTAAGAGCATTCAATACTCTTTTTGTTATTAATAATGATCACAACCATGGTTTTCTAGATAAGAACAACAAAAATCTGTTATCTATTAGTGTTTCCAAGACTGCAAACCTTTCCAGAAGCAGAATGCTACTTCTTTCTCCTGTGTAGTGGCTGCTGGGTTCAAACTGGTGATCATTTGGTCACCACACCACTAGGGCTCCTTACAAGATAACTAAACCTTTAAAAGAGAGAGAGAGAGAGAAAAGAAAAGAAAAAGCTTCTTTTAACAATGTAACATTTATCTATAGGTACTTATCTATGTGCTCTTATGCTAACAGTGCTCTTATGGTGCTCTTATGGGTTAAATATTGGGCTGTTAACCACATGGTCAGCAGTTCAAACCCACCAGCTGTGCCACAGGAGACAGATGAGGCTTTGTGTTTCTGTAAAGATGTACAGCCTGGGAAACCCCGTATAGGGTTGTTAGGAGTCGGAATCGATTTGATGGCAGTGGGTTCAGCTTTGTCTATGCACAGCCACCTCTCATTTGCTGTGATGCTAAAGTTACTAAAATGTAGCTTACAGACTGAGACTAACGAGGAAGAAAGGCCTGGTGATCTGCTTTTAGAAATCTGCCACAGGAGATCTTAGGGATCACAAGGATCTTATCTACAAGCAATCACAAGAAATGTCAGAAGACTGGGTGTGTTTCATTTGGCTGTCCATGGGATTGCACTGAAGGAGGGGATGGCTTGATTGTAGTAAACAACAACAGTTATACCGTGGCACTCATGATCCACTCCCTTGTCAGCTCTGACACATGGTAACCTCATGTATGACTGAGCAAAGCATTGCCCAGTCTTGTGCCAACTTCAAGATCATTAGGATTTTAATCCAATCACTGTGATGATGCCTGGAAATTATGAATCATCCATTTTACTATAGTGTGTACCTTATGAGGTTATTTATTGTTCTTTTACTGAGTCATGTCATATAAACAACAGGACACTTGATTTCCATTTTGTTTGATAAAATATTTTTAAAGTATGTGAGTGGGTACTAAACAACACATGACCTAAACTCAATAGCGAGGAGGGCATAGATGGCTGGTGGGCCTTGATCAAGGACAATGTAGCTGAGAGGAGTTACTGGAACACAAATCAAGGCCTAACATGATAGTGGGACAAGAGGAAAGTAAAAGGAAATAGAGGAAAGAACTCGGAAGCAAAGGGCATTTATAGAGGTCCAAATACAGGCATGTACATCTATAAATATATGTATATATGATGATGGGGAAATAGATCTATATGCATATATTTATAGGTTTAGTATAAAGGTAGCAGACAGAACTGGGTCTCTACTCAAGTATTTCCTCAATGCAAGAACACTTTGTTCTAATAACCTGGCATTGCATGATGCTCACCTTCCGACACAATCGCTGAAGACAAAATGGTGCATAAACAAATGTGGTGAAGAAAGCTGATGGTGCTTGGTTCTGAAAAGATATGTGTCTGGGGTTTTAAAGGCTTGAATATAAACAAGGAGCCATTTAGCTTAGCAGCAACGAAGTCCACCTGGAAGAAGCACACCAGCCTGTGCAATCATTAGTTGTCAATGGGATCAGGAATCAGGCATCAAAGACCCAGAACAAAAAAATCATATCAATGTGAATGAGGAGGGGATTAAGGAGTGGAGACCCAAAGACCGTCTGTAGACAATTGGACATCGCCTTAGAGAAAGGTCACAAGGAAGAGACAAGCCAATCAGGGTGCAGTATAGCACTGATGAAACATACAACTCTCCTCTAGTTCTTTAATGCTTCCTCCCCCCACGATCATGACCCCAATTCTACCTTACAAATCCGGCTAGACCAGAGCATGTACACTGCTACAGATAAGAGTCCAAAACACAGGGAATCCAGGGCAGATAAACCCCTCAGGACCAATAATGAGAGTAGCGATACCGGGAGGGTAAGAGTAAGATGAGAGGAGAAAGGGGGAAATCAACCACATTGATCTACATATAACCCCCTCCCGGGTGGACCGACAACAAAAAAGTGGGTGAAGGGAGACATCGGTCAGTATAAGACATGAAAAAGAAATTTTTATAAATTATCAAGAGTTCTTGAGGGAGGGAGGGCTGGGGGAGGGGGGAATGAGGAGCAGATATCAAGGACTCAAGTAGAAAGAAAATGTTTTGAAAATGGCAACAAATGTACCAATGTGTTTGACACAATGGATGGATTGTGATAAGAGCTATATGAGTCCTCAGTAAAATGATTTCTTAAAAGATTTTTTAAAAATTTTTCTGTTGATGAGACTGATGAAATGTTAGATATTTAAGCATATAAAACTAATAATTTTTTAATACCTACAAAGTTACATAAAATATGTTTTGATCTGGAATGAAATTGAGTAGTTTAGAATTTTTCTGCTACATATATATACAAACCAAAGTGAGATATTGAAGAAAATATTTCATTAGCTTAAGCAAGGTCACTTTCATTCCAATTATTAGGCTATTTTAGTTGAGACTGACTTTTTTCTTGAGTAAATTAAATAATAAAAGTGAAACTAATTCAGATGAGGTTGGCAATTATTTCCTTGCCCTGTCTACTAATATCAGCTATTCTCACCTATTGTAATTTTACTAAACGATTTATGCTTGGAGAGTGCCTGGTAGCATACTGGGCTATATGTTGGGCTGCTAACTGCAAGGGCAGCAGTTTGAAACTGCCAACTGCTCAACAGGGTCAAGAAGAGACTTTCTCCTCCTGCAAAGATTTTTCATCTCAGAACCCCACAAAGGCGGTTCTACCCTGTCCTATAGGATCTCTGGGAGTCAGTGAGAGTTGACAAGAATACCTTATTGGTGTAGAGCAATAACTGATCAGTGATTGTGGCATGTTAGCCATTTATGAATGTGTTTAAATGTTGCTGAGAGAAGCATATCTCATCCTGCCATTGGCCTTGGTCTCGTTTCTCTAGGTCAGTTAACCATGATTGTGGGCCAAGTGGGATGTGGGAAGTCATCTCTCCTCCTTGCCATCCTTGGGGAGATGCAGACACTGAAAGGAAGAGTTCACTGGAGCAAGTAGGTATATTTTTAATGGTTTCTGTCATTTTGGTATGCATGTGCTGATCCTCCAAGGGAAGGTAATAGAGGAATAGATTTCCATGTTATACATGGGGGGTGGGGGCTCCTCAGAAACAAACATGGCTTTTTGCTTAATTAGTAAAACCATCAATGCTATAAACTTTAAAAATGCAAGCAATTATTGTAGAAGTTTGTAGTATTATAGACTAGTATGTTGCTGATGACAATGTAAATATAAATTTATATTTAAATTACATTTAAATTTACCATTAAAGTTTGATTTAAGACATAAAGTTAAAATATACCACAAAAAAGACTACTACCAGCCAATATCTCTTATGAATAAAGATGTGAAAATATTCAGCAAAATACTAGCAAACAGAATATTAAAGGAGTCATACATCATGACTTATTGAATTTATTTGAGTAAATCTGGGAGGAGTCAACATTAGCAAATAAAATCAACTTAATACAGCATAATGCAACTTATAAAACAAAGGAAATGGACAAAGTGATTATATCTATGGATGCAGAGGAGGTATTTGATAAAATCCAATATGCTCTTGTTAAAAGTTTGGAATAGAAGAGAAATTCCTCACTGTGATGCAGGGCATATATATATGAAAAACCAACAACCAATAATTAAACTTAATGGGGAACGACATGGGTGCCTGTTCTTAAGACTTCTATTTAGTTTTATCTTAAAAATCCTAGCCAGACATTCCATGATGCTCACATTCCTGACACAATTGCTGAAGAAAAAGCAGGTGCATAAGCAAATGTGGTGAAGAAAGCTGATAGTGCCCAGCTATCAAAAGATATAGTGTTTGGGATCTTAAAGGCTTGAAGATAAACAAGCGACCATCTATCTCAGAAGCAACAAAGCCCACATGGAAGAAGCACACCAGCCTGTGCGAGCACAAGGTGTCGATGGGATCAGGTATCAGGCATCAAAGAACAAGAAATCGTGTCATTGTGAATGAGGGGGAGTGCAGAGTGGAGACCCAAAGCCCATCTGTAGGCAACTGGACATCCCCTTACAGAAGGGTCACGGGGAGGAGATGAGCCAGTCAGAATGCAGTATAGCAACGATGAAACCTACAACTTTTCTCTAGTTTTTAATGCTTGTCCCCCTCACTATCATGATCTCAATTCTACCTTACAAATCTGGCTAGACCAGAAGATATACACTGGTACAGATAAGAACTGGAAACACAGGGAATCCAAGACAAATAAACCCCTCAGGACCAATAATGAGAGTCGTAGTACCAGGAGGGAAAAGGAAAGGTGGGGTAGAAAGGGGGAACTGATCACAAGGATCTACATATAACCCCCTCCTTGGGGCATGGACAACAGAAAAGTGGGAGAAGTGAGACATCGGACAGTGTAAGACATAGCAAAATAATAATTTTAAAATTATCATGGGTTCATGAGGGAGGGAGGGTGGGGAGGATGGGAAAAAATGAGGAGCTGATACCAAAGACTAAAATAGAAAGACAATGCTTCGAGAATGATGATGGTAACAAATGTACAGATATGTCTGACACAATGGATGGATGGATGGATTGTGATAAAAGTTCTGAGAGCCCCCAATAAAATGATTCAAAACAAAACAAAAACAACATCCTAGCCAGAGAAATAAACCAAGAAAATAAGCAGGAGGAAGCTTCAAAAAGCTGAAGGAAAAACTAAATCAATCATAATGGGATCTTTTTCCATACGTTTTTGAAGTCCCTTATACTCATAAAAGGTGTCCAGTTTGGAAAAGAAGAAGTAAAAGTTATTTACAGGTCATATGACCCTAGATATAGAAAATCCCAAACAGTCTTTAAGAAAATGTCTAGAGCTAGTTGTGGAGTTTGGCAAAGTTGTGGGGTCCAAGGGAAACACATCTATTGCATTTCTATACTTCAGCCATGAGAATCTAAAAAGGAAACTAGAGAAATGATCCCATTTTTAATAGCATCTAAAAGAATGAAATATATTGGAATAAATTTAATCAGGGATGTGAAGGACGTACACAACCAAAACTATAAAACATTCCTGAAAGAGACTAAGAAAGACTTAAACACATGGAAAGATGTTCCATGTTCATGGGTTAAAAGGCTTAATATTGTTAATAGCTTCAATGCAATTCCCATCAAGATTTCAACAGCCTTCATGACAGACATAGAAAAACCAGTCTTCAACTTTAAATGAAAAGGCAAGAGACCCTAACTAGCTAGTATTGCTGAAAGAAGAACAAAGTAGGAAGTCTAACGTCCTGACTTTAAAGTACACCATGCAGTTCCTGTACTCAGATATAGTCTGGTACTAGGATAGCAATAGACACACACACACACACACACACACACACCCCAAGACAATAGAATCAAGTACTAGGATAGCAATAGACACACACACACACACACACACACCAAGACAATAGAATCAAGTACTAGGATAGCAATAGACACACACACACACACACACACACACAAAGACAATAGAATCGAGTACTAGGATAGCAATAGACACACACACACACACACACACACACACACGCACACACACGCACACACACCAATAGAGACACACACACACACCAATAGACACACACACACACACACACACCAAGACAATAGAATCAAGAATCCGGAAGGAAACCCACACAATCGTGTCAAATTATTATATTTTACAAGGGTGCCATGTTCCCATGCAGAACAACAAATCTTTTGCTTCACACTGTACACGTAAATGAATTCACAATGGACCAAGGACCTACATGTGCAAACTAAAACCATAAAATTCTTAGGAGAACACGCAGGAGCAATGCTTGTGGTTGTCATTTCTATCTTTCAACAACAGGTTACTTGATAGAATAAAATCATAGACAGCAAAAGGCAAAATAAATAAGATCTCATGAAAATGAAAAACTTTTGCTCACTAAAATATTTTATTGAAAAGGTGAACACACCAGCTTCCTGCTGGGAGACTCTCTTCAGGAACCACGCATCCAACAATAACCAAATCACCAAAAATATATACTACTTTGACAATTGAAAGCAAAATGGTAAATAATCCAATCATAAAATAGGCAAAGGACTTGAATGGAAGTTTCACCAAAAAGTATTCAAATGGCTATCAAACACATGCTCAGTGTGTTTTGTGTGCTGTGTCATTTTGTCTTCAGAGAGGGGAAAAATCAAAACCACAAGGAGATACCATTACACTCCCTTAGGATAGCTAAGAAAAGCAAAATTGAACCACCCAAAATCAGGAAATAATAAAGGTTGGAGAAGATATAGGAAAATTGAACTTTTATCTTTGACTGGTGGGAATGCACAATTGCATATGGAGGCAGTTCAGGAATGCACAATTGCGCCTGGAGCCAGTTCCTTAAAAAACTGAAAACGTAACTGTCATAAATTTTTTGATTAAACAAATAAAAATATCCCTCACTGCCATCAAGTCATTTCCAACTGGGTGTTACCCTGTAGGACAAGGAAGGACTGCTCCTTTGTTCAGGACTTATTTACAGGACTAGAAACCTCATCTTTCCCCTGCGGAGCAGTAAGTGGGTTCAAACTGCTGATCATGTGGTTGGCAACTTAGTGCACAGCTCACTTCTCCACCGGAGCTCCTTCAGAACTATCATCAAACAAAAGTATGATGAGTCTAGGACAATTGGAGGTTGTAGATAATGAAATGGAACATATGGAGAAAAACTACATTCTAGGCATCAGTGAGCTCAAATGGACAGTTATTGACCATTTTGAAGCAGAAAAAATATATGGTTTATTATGCTGAGGTTTACTGTGGCATTGCAAGGTCTACTTGAAGTACAATGCTGTCTGTGATGGGATTAAAGGTGAGATAAAATGGCAGGCAACTGATGACTCAGTGTCAACAAGCAATATGACAAGCTTTGCCTCAAGTCAAAGAACCAGACATCAAGTCAAAGAGCCAGCTATAGGCTCCAGACCCAGCAAAAAACAAGCAAGCTTTTCATAGATCTTATATTGGAAGCAGTTCACACCTTTAAGAAGATCTCATCATGTGGAATTATTAGGTTTTAACTACCAACCACCAAGAATCATGGCCCATTCAAGTTGACACCAAACGTTAACTATGGCAAACTGCTCTTTGTCACCTTGGTCCTTGTACACATATATTTGAACCATATATAATCTCTAATAAAGACAATTATACAACCATATGTATGACTAACATGATACAAATAACACACATATACTAAAAATGCACTTATCTAATTTACATCTTATAGTTCATAAGTTATAGAAACCAAAATATTTGATGCTACATACCAGAAGGAAATATCCATAACATCATAATTCTGGTTTTCACAACTGATCATATGATTGTAGGTAGTACTTACTACCTTCTTCCTTAGGAGGCCACAGGAGCATAATATCATGCTGTAATAGACCAGTGTGATGTCTGTGGGCAGGACCAGGTGCTCAGGTTTTCAGTGGACTAAATTAGGTCATAGCACTGTAGACTTGAGATCCTCCTGAGGTAGGAAAGTATGGGTGTTTCAACTTTTGTATTTGAAGGCAAATGATTTCTGGTTATCTTTTGAAAATGGAGTTGAGAAAAAGGCATAGGCCAGCTCAATAGCTGGAACCAGGCGATGCGTTCCTTTGTTCAAGCGATGACATGACATCTAAAGCAGTAGATGGGATTGGGATTACCAGGTGGCTCAATTTACAATCATACACTCTCCTTCTCCAAGATCCATCTGTTTTGTGCACAACATGCAAGCAAATAAAATGGGAGCGTGGCGTGAATCACCATTCTTACCTCTTTCAGGTCCTTGCTGGCGGCACTGATTTCTGTAGGTCCTCCAGGAACGTGGTATTGCTTTTGGTTTACTGTTATCCTATAGGCAAGTATAGTGAGACTTCATCTCACATACTTTGGACAGATTATCAGGAGAGACTTGTCCCTGGAAAGGGACATCATTCTTGGTGAAGTGGAAGGGCAGCAAAAAAAGAGGGAGACCCTTGATGGATTGACCTAGTGGCTGCAAAAATAGGCTCAAACACAAGGACCATTGGGAGGATGGCACAAGATTGGTCAGTTTCTCTTTCTGATATACACAGTGTCACTACGAGCCAGAACTGACTCCATGGTACCAACAAAAACTTTAGCCTAGGTAGAGGCATTTCTGTTGGATTCCATTTAATTCTGTTACCATAATAGCCCTTATTCTTCATGCCAGGGATGTCTGTCTAGTTCAGTTATGAATTCTGGAACTGGATAGACTACTGTACATTGGGTTGAGGCATCCACTGGACCCTCTGTGAGACAAACTTGAGCAAAGACTCCATATTCCCACACTCGGATGCTGTGGACCACAGTAACATTTTGAGTCTCTTGGAATTACTGTCAGTTCTGAGCCAGCAGCCAGCAATCCCTGAACAGTCACTCTTTTCAAAGGCCAAAGATCCTTTTGGGAAAGGCTGGAAAAAAGATAACAACATAAGTTTTTGTCGATGTTGTGGGTTCTTACTCAAGAGAACCCAACCCCGCTTCATTCAAGAGGCTGTGGGTCTGTAAACTGACGAGTCTGAGAACTGATTGCGGGATTGTGAACCTATTCTGGTTAGACTTACTTTAGTTAGATTTACTTCAGGTGATGGCGAGTTCTTTCACTTGGACAGATCAAGTAAATATTTAGTAGGTTTCCCGTCTTAGAAGCTAATGCCCGAAACTCATATGAGTCAGACTGTCTGATGACTCTTTTGACTCTGCTGGCAATTACAGTAACCATGCCCATCCATGTAGTCTCTGTTGATTAAGTGCTGCCATTTGACATCTATTACCATATGGCCCAACCAATCTCATTGTAGTTACGTCCAATGTCTTAATTGAAGTAGAGCAGATTTTAATGTCAAATCTGACTTACATAAGACAGAAATCAGAGCAGTCTTCAAAGATGCTGGAGCTCCATTTACAAGCTTTGATCCTCACTGTCTTGGTAAAAAGTGCGTCCTGAAGGCATTCCATTTGTGCGCATTTATACTGGTAGAGCTAACACACCAAAGTCCCTATGCCTTTGGCAGTGCCCTCTTTACGAGTGGAGAGTTATCAGTATTCATGGAGGCAGATTTATCACTGTCTTTAAAACTAATTAGACTTGAGAGACAATTTAGAAAATCATTCTTCCAATTTTATTTCTCTGGAACCACCCTTGATATCAAACGTCTTTGGTTAGGTTCACAAAAGAATCAAAACCAGTGAAGCTGGTATATATCTGGAATATAGCTGGTATATATCTTTCATATATATCTATATATATGGATGTCAGAGCGGTTTATATCTGTCCATAGTTGTAGAAGCAGGTAGGTTCTGAGTCTGGGAAAGTTTTAGTCCATGGATCAGAAATTAAGCTGGAGGCTTCTCCTGATTCAAGTAGTTGTAAGGGTGGATGTACCCAAGATTGACAGAAAAATGACAGACTTGGGACAATAGAGGCAAATGAAACCCAGGTCAGGGATGGCAGACCACTGGTGACTCCCAGCATTGACGGACAATAGAGTGAGCATGTCAGTTCCAAAGAATCGGAGGTCATTGTGCCAGAGGCAAGATCCAGACCAAGCAAAACACAAGCAAAGTTTTCCAGATTATCTAGTTACATTGGAAACAATCCACACCCTCAAGGAGATCTCATCACTGGGGGTGGGGGGTGGGGGTGGTGGTGTTACTAGATCTTAACTGCCAAACCACTTGAGCATCCTGTCCCAAGAAAGTTGACATAAAACCTTAGCAGTTCGTCATGGGCCATTTAGTGAGGATCCAGCGGAAAGCTCAGTAATTAATCCCAGCACTTTGCTTCATGGTAGCTTCTTGCTAACCAAGAAAGCCAGGCACCAGGAGCTGTTCATTCTGACACTAATCACCTTCCGTCTTTGGTGAATGTAGGGTTTGAAAAGCAATTTCCACTGGATTGAATTATGCCACCGTGGCAGTGTTGTGGTTGCACAATGCGCTGCCAAACACAAGTAAATAGTTTGAAACCACCAGCTGCACCACGGGAGAAAGATCAGACTTTCTTTTCCCTGAAATATTTACAGTCTCAGAAACGCACAAAAGTAATTCTACTCTGTCCTAGAGGGTAGCCATGAGTCTGAATCAACTTAATAACAGCGAATTCGATTTTTTCAGTATGATATGAACAGCCATAATTAACTTATTTAGGTTAGGGGTAACTGCTTTGTCATTATTTACATAAGGAAATAATGAGAGACAGAGACAGAAAAAGCTTGAGATTTTACTTTTATCACCCTAGTTTTACTAGTCTGGTCTTCTCCAGTGTTGTTTAATATTCTGGGGCCTAGCTGCACTTGTTAAATTGACTGCCAGTGTTATTATTAGGAGTGGTGTTAACAGACAAATAAATGACATATGACTGATGGAAGTATTTTGCACTTTATTTTCTTGCTTTCTTAAATAGTTATCCTCTGTCATTACATAAACATTTTAAATGATTTTATTTTCAAAACCACAATAAAGGCTGAAAAGAAGGGTAAGTAAATCGAGAAGGAAGAAAAGGTGCTATAAGAACCTGAGAAATTAGTAAAGAGCTATGCATGCACTGGGATCCGGAACA